CTGCAGCAGTAGCCAATGATTGTTTTAATGTGATAAAAGCAGTTTCTGCATCTTGTGTCCATTCAAGTTTGGCTGTGAGATTTCGCATGCCCTGTTGTCTGACCAGTTCGCGCAAAGGCTGGGTCAATCCTGTGTAGTTTGCTACATAATTACGGCTGTAGCCTGTTAGTCCAAGAAATGAGAGCATGTCTTTAACTTTAACAGGTTTGTTGTGATGTAAGATCGCAGATCTGTGTGTTGGAGACATACTGACCCCCTTTTGGGATATCAGACGTCCTAAGAATGAGACCTGCTTCCTGGCTACCTGTAGCTTGACCTTGCTGACCTTAAAGCCCTTGTTCGCCACATGTTGAAGCACTGAGTGAGTCGCCGCTAGACACGCGTCTGCAGTGGGTGCCGCAATCAGTAAATCGTCTACATACTGTACAAGAGTCGTGTTTTCAGGAAGTGTGCAGTCGCTTAACACCTGCTTCAGGACTTGGTTAAATAATCCTGGGGAGAGAGCAAAACCTTGTGGCAGTCTGGTGTATCTTAGTTGTTGTCCTCTAAACGTAAATGAAAATATGTCCCTACATTCTGGAGCCAGGGGCAGACAGAAGAATGCATTTGCTAAATCAATGCACGTGAACCAACTTTGGGAGGGGTCGAGGTTGGCCAGGGCAACATAAGGATTCGGGACTGGTACAGTTGGGGTGACCAGGATATTATTAATGGCCCTGAGATCATGTGCCATGCGGTATTTACCTGTCCCTTTCTTCTCTACAGGTAAGATGGGAGTGTTCCAGGCTGAATGTGAGGGTTCCAACACCCCCTTTTCCAATAAGCCTGTGATTGTGTCATGTATCCCCGCTTCTGCCTGAGGTTTGTGTGGATATTGTCGGATCCATATTGGAGTGTCTGTGTTGACTGAAAATTTTACAGGTGGGCAATCAGTGAGACCCACATCTGTCGGATCGTCTGCCCATAAATGGTCAGGTAAAGTGTTAAGCATAGCTTTAGCTCCCTCATGATCTGTTTTCTCTCTCCCATGATGTCGAGCGATTTGTTCATGTTCTAGGGTGGCTGTGTTAACAGCACACAACATGATTCTATAGGTGTTGGTGGTGGGTGAGAAATGAACTTGAGGTATTTGTGTTAATTGCCAATCAGTTTGTGCCAATGCTCTTTTCACCATGCCTCCTAATTCTTTAGCCTGATGTCGTGGATGTAAAGCTAAAGAAACATGTGGAGCTGCTTCATCGCCCATCATGTACCAATCCAATTGATCAGGAGTCAGGTCTACACCGGCTGCAACACCCTCCGGAGCCACATAAATGTTTTGTGTTTTAATTTCCCACGAGTTTCCTTCCAATTGGTCTTGGAATTTGTCAAGGTACCAATCTGTTTGTAATCTATCATAGAAGAGAGTTACATGAGGAGGATCGGGTGGAGAGACATATGGTTCGATTTGGGCGATCCAGGGCTTCCACTGCAGGTACGCAGAGAGAATACCAGGCGTCTCAACAGTCTCTGGTTGTAGCGTTCCCCAGTAGATGTCAGCATATGTCTCTTCAATCGGTTGCATCAGGTACTGCCCACTTGTGGCTACACCGTCACACTGGAGTTCGGTGCCGTCAGGCAGAGTCACTCTTAGTCCATCTGGGCTGCACAGAATGGATGCCCCTAGTTTTATCAGGAGATCCCTTCCCAGTAAATTCAAAGGCACAGTGGGCGAATGAACATATGAATGTGTCACTTTTTGTCCACCCAGCTGGGTGACAATAGGTACGGTGATTGGCAGAGTCTGCTTTTCCCCAGAGAAGCCCACTACTGTTATTGTTTCGTCTGATAATGTGTGCGGAGGAGTTTTAATCAATGTAGAACAGGTA